TACTACTCAGCAATGAAAAATAAGGAAATCATGAAATTTGCAAGTAAATGGTGGGAACTAGAAAGGATCATCCTGAGTGAGCTGTCCCAGAAGCAGAAAGACACACATGGTATATACTCACTCATATAGACATTTAGTATAGGATAAACCTACTAAAATCTGTACACCTAAAGAAACTAATCAAGAGGGATAACCCTGACTAAAATGCTCAAACCCCATCCCAAAAGGCAAAGAGGATGGACATCAGAAGAAGAAGAAAACAGGAAACAAGTTAGGAACCTGCCACAGAGGGCCTCTGAAAGGCTCTGCCCTGCAGACTATCAAAGCAGATGCTGAGACTTATGGCCAACTGTTGGGCAGAGTGCATGAATCTTATGAAAGAAGTGGGAAATAGTAAGATCTGGAGAGGACAGGAATTCCACAAGGAGAGCAACAGAATCAGAAAATTTGAACACAGAGGTCTTTTCAGAGACTCATACTCCAACCAAGTATGAGGCATGGAGATAACCTAGAACCCCTGCCCAGATGCAGCCCATGGCAGTTCTGTGTCTAAGTGGGTTCCATAGTAATGGGAAGAGGGAATGCCTCTGACATAATCTGATTGGCCTGCTCATTGATCACCTCCCCCTGTTGGGGGAGGAACCCTACCAGGCCACAGAAGATGACAATGCAGCCACACTTGATGAGATCTGATAGACTAAAATCAGAAGGAAAGAGAGGGGGAACCTCTCCTATCAGTGGACTTGGGGAGGGGCATGCGTGAAGAAGGGGGAGGGAAAGTGGAATTAGGAGGGGAGGAGGGAGGGATTTATGGGGGATACAAAGTGAATAAAGTATAATTAATAAAAGTTAAAAAATGTTAAAAACAAAATTATATAAGTCAGGGCTCGGGGGATGGCTCAGTGGGTAGGAGAAGTTGATATGCAAGCATTAGGACCTGAGTCTGAATCCCCAATACATGCTTTATATGTCTGCATGTACTTGTCATCCCAGCATCGCTAGGTGGAGGCAGGTAGATCCTGCGAGCTCGCTGGCCAGCCAGTGTAGCCCAGCCACCCTGGCAAGCTTCCAACTCAGCAGAAGACACTGGATCAGGCAATAAGGCACAAAGTGACAGAGAATGCAGGTAACATCCTCCTCTGCCCTCACCTGTATGTGCACAGGCACACTGGCATACTCACATGCATGCTCCAAACACGCACAACGCATAGAAAGGATAAGCCACTGAATGTCTGTATAGTTTCATAAAGCGGTTTCATAAATGTTGGCTGGGTGCAGTGGTGCAGGCCTGTAATCCCAGCACTCAGGAGGCAGAGGCAAGTGGATCTCTGTGACTTTGAGGCCCACCTACTCTTCATAGTGACTTCTAGGACAACCAAAGTTACATAATAGAGACTCTGTCTCAAAAGAAAAAGAGGCATGGTTATAGCATGTCTTGGGTACTTGTTTAGAATTATCTTCATAAAATAAGTTTATAGGTTGGTGGAGGGGAAATGTAACAAGAATGGGAATCAAAAGGTAGAACAGATATTAGTTACTTTCCCAGATTTACCCTTGGGATGTCTTGTCTCATGGTATTCCCCATAGTAACCCAAAAAGGAAACCACTTATTATTATTATTATTATTATTATTATTATTATTATTATTATTTGCCATTCTTATATTACATACTTACTAAGAAAAGGAAAATCCAAAACCGTATATAAAAAAAAAAGGGCAAAGTTGTTAGCACCAAGCCTTTCATGCCACCACAGTGAAGCATGAACCCACAAGTCTTCCTATGAACAATCCCATCCGCAAACTCTGAGTAGCAAAGGAGCAACTGAGTACTCCATATGTTTTCTGCATCTCTTCAAGGTGACTTTATAATCTTAAGTGTCTGGAAAAATCACCAGACAAAAGTGTTTTGTCATGTTAGTGGCCATAAATGCACAGCTACATGGGAACGCTCGGCCACGGTCACTCCTTCAGTTACTGCCTGCACCTTTGAGTTTCACAGGCTGCTCAATTTTGGCTTCTAAACAGGCAAGGTTTGCTAACCCCTTCCCCAAGGGATAAAACTTGCCTTATTGTCTTTTATTGGTAAGAGCTCAACAGTTATGATTTTAGGTATTACTTTGCAGATTGATGCTACAGGTTGGTGTGATAGTTCGGTGGTGAAGGGAGCTTGCCATGAAAGCCTACTGACCTGAGTTCAATTCATGGGTCCCGATAAAACTAGGAGAGAAATGACTTCACCAAATTGTTCTCTAACCTACACACACACACACACACACACACACAAACACACACACACTCACATAAATAATAACAAATAATAAATGAAATTTGGTATCCCATTCTTCTTCAATCACAGATGTGAACTGTATCTGCTGATCAGAAAGGATTCCATGGGAAATAGATGCATTGCCTTTCGAATTTCACTATTTTAGCATTCTCTTTATGATCATTGTTTCAACTTATCATATCCTGCTGATTCTTTTATTAATCAGTGAAACATATTTCTGACAAGGCCAGACTGTATTTATTAGAATATTATGGTTTGGTTTCTTCTCTTTTTTGAGACAGAGTCTTAGTATGTAGCTGTGGCCTGGAATTCACTATGTAAAGCAAGCTAGCCTCAGACTCAGAGGTCTGCCTGCCACTGCCTCCCAAATGCTGGGATTAAAGGTATGCACCACCATGCCTGGCCCAGAATATTATGTTTCTAAACTTTCAACAACTCCAGTTTGACATGGTCTTCTAAAATAAAACATTTGACCTAACAAGATCGCTCAGTGGGTAGAGGGCCTTGTATCCAGAACTGATGAGTTTGAATCCCAGTTCTCACAGGTGGCAGCAAAAAATTTAAAAAAAATTAAAAAATAATAAAAGAAACGAACTATTCCTATGAATTGTCTTCTGAACTCTGGAAGCACAGCTAGAACTTGTAATATCCCAAAATCACAAAAACGTACACACACCCACACACACACAAAACCTCTTTTAAATAAAAGTTTCAGAAAATAGAAATCAACCATAGAAAGTCCTATGGTTGGCATTGTAATGTAAAATCACACACTCATCTCTTTTCTGTAACGTACAAGGAAGGAAACTGCTAAGCCCCCTTGGGGGGTGGGATGGGGTGGAGCAGCTTTTCCCCATATATGGAGAAGGAAACAATACCCAACAACTTGTAAGGGGAGCCACATTTCTTAGAAGAGTGCAGGAAATTGTTTCAATTTAGTCCAGAATTACAGATTTATTCAGTGAAATGTAATGTAAGCTATATCACTGGGAAAACCCGAGCAGGCTCGGAACAAGTCCATCTTCACAGGCATCCACGGTCTTACAGGAACCGCTTGAATGAGGCCGACACCTCACAGGAGGAACTCCAGGAAGGGCGGTGTAGCCCACTTCAAACTTCTTTTCTGTCTAGGGATCTATTATGTTGATAAAAATCAACTTTGGTCTGTGTGTCTAGCTTTCCACAGAGAGGCATCAATGAGAAGAGCCTAGACCTGCTTGCACGAAGTTGGGTTAAGATCTGTCTCATCTACAGGATGTAAAACTCACTGCATCCTGCAGGCTCTGAACCGAGTCCACGCCGCATAGCAAGCTTCCGAAGGCCCAAAAGATCCATCAGCGGAGAGGCCTTGAGAAAATCGCTCTCATTCACCAAGTATTCTCAAGCCCCTGGCTTTTCTCTAGTAGATTTACTGTGTGTGTGTGTTTATGTGCGCGCGCATGCTCGCTCGTGTATGTACATGCCTTCAAGCATGCATGAGGTCAGAACAATCCGTAGGAGTTGGTTCTCATCTCTTACCATGTGGGTTCTGATATCAAACTGAGGCCATCAGGCTTGCAGCAAGCTGCACACACACACACACACAGAGAGAGAGAGAGAGAGAGAGAGAGAGAGAGAGAGTTGCAAGCATGTGCGTGCACACATACACATAAATAATAAAATAAATCTTAAAAGAATAAAATAAGATAGCTGCTGAGCCACATTTTGCTTGAGACAGCTTATTCCATCAAAGGCTATAATAATCATCCTAGCAGAGAAGGGATGGAGGCTGTGAGGGTGAGTATCCAGGGAAAAGGTCACTGGGGTCTGAGTGAGTCCTGCTGGTAATTCATCATGGCGACACAGGTCCTGACTCTGAATCCTGCTGTACTGTATGCTGCCTTGGCAAGGGACGTTTTGTTTTATTGGGAATCCTTGGATGTTAGATAAACACTCTAGTGCAGAGCTACATACCAAGCCCTCTTATTGCTTTTTGAGATAAGCTCTTACGATAGCTCAGAATGGCCTTAAACTCACTCTGTAGCCAAGCCGGACCTTGAACTTGCCATACTTGTGCTCTGGCATCATGAGTGGCTGGGACTGCAAATCTGTACACCTAGGCACTGTATGAAGAATTAAAATAATGATGATGATAATAATAAGAAAGAAAGAAAGAAAGAAAGAAAGAAAGAAAGAAAGAAAGAAAGAAAATAAGAAAGAAAGAAAGAAAGAAAGAAAGAAAGAAAGAAAGAAAGAAAGAAAAAATGCCCCTTGCTTGGTAGCACTAGGCTGGGTGTTGGACACGGTCGTCTCATCTTAAAAGCCTCCAGCCAAAGGTGAATAAATCAGTTTGTAAATCAGAGCTCTGGGGGCGGGAAGCTCCGGTAGCACCCAACAGTCTCCTTTTCGCTCTCCCAAAAGCAGGGCAGGAATGCCGCAGGGCCTGATTTTTCAGCCCAGGCCACCGGAGCAGCCAGTGCAGTCCAGAGCTGCACCACCTCCCGAAGTTCATGTGAAAGAGTTAAAAGACTAGGCGCCGAGCACGTCCTCAAGTGGCTGCATGTCTACCTCGATCGCGGACACGCCGTGGAACGGCACAACCACAGAAGCCCCGAGAAAACGAAAAGTGTGCCCAAGGGTCGGAAGGCGGGAACCTGATTTGAGGAGGAGGGTGCCAGAAGGGCAGCCAATCCCGAGCTCCCCGGGAGGAAGAGGCGGAGCCAGAGCCCGCGGTCCCCCGCACTGCTCACTCCCGCGCTGCGCTGGCTCCGCCGCCGACTCCCGGTCCTGCGCCGCCGCCTGCTGTGGACTTCCCCGGTGCAGACATGGCCTCGGGCGCCGCCTGCTCGGCGGTGAAGGTGAGATCACCCTACAAGCTGCAGAGGGGTCAGCCCTGCCGGGTTCCACTGGCCCCTCCGCTGGGGCCGCTCCTCCTGGGTGGGTCCCCAGCCCGGTCGCCCCCCGCTCGTGGCACAGCAGAGAGGGACAGGGGCGCGGCACCCGCCGCCAGCACACCCCCATTTCCCCAGCCTTTGAACTCATAGGCATACCGGGCCTGTACGGTGGTAGCCGGTGCTCGGATGGGTTAGGGATGGGGGGTGAGGGGAGCTATGCGCAGCCTGCAGTTGGGATGCCACCCTTTCTTAATGCCCGTAACTCCTCTCCGGAGATGCCCCGGCGGGAGCTGACGCGTGGCCCAGCTCCTGCGGCTGCTGCGCCGGTCCTTTTAGCCTTACGGGATTCGCGCTTCCGCTCCCTTGACTTGGCCCACGTGGGAGAGCTGTGCAATTGCTCTTTTGCACGCCTCTGGCTTCGCCTCGTCCCCGCCCTCCCCCCCTCCCCAACTTAGATTTCCTTTTGCTTTGTTTTACGCCGGTAGCGCAGAGCTGTGTGAGCTTTGAGACTTTTAAAAGAAGGTAACGGCGGCGTGCAGACCGCTCCCATCTGTTAGGGCCGCTCCCAGCCTGGAGGCCTCTGTCCTTAAACCGTTTTGCAGCCTTGAAAGTTAGAGCTATTTTCTGGGGCCTCGAGTCCCCGGTCCCCAGAGATCTCTACCCAAGGGATTCTTGTGTGCCCAGGAACCGCTGGCTAGAGGAGACCATGAGTTCTGAGTCTCCCCTGGGTCTTTTAAACAAGTTCTGATTGCTGAGTATGGAGTGGAAAAGTCTAAGTCCTTTCTAGGCTGTTTATTATTAGCCAAGAACGCAGTAAACTTGATTCACTTTAGGAATTTCTAGCCTGTGGTACAGGAAATGCACTGTGTTCTCCAGGCATTCTTTTTGATTCCCTTGAAAGAGGCCAATACCTGCGGTTAGCCTGCAGCCTGCTTGTTTTTTTGTTTGTTTTTGTTTTTGTTTTTTAACATTTTGAAAAGGATTATTTACATTTATAAAAAGCCTCTGTTCCAGTCGGCAGGAATGGGCCAGAAAGGTTGTGTGCAAGGTACAACACGTATTTATAAAGCGGGAATTTTGCTACAGTGTAGGCTGGAAAGGCGAGAATCATAATGTCTGTACTGGGAATACTTGAGTTTTTAGGAGTGGAGATAATTCCAAACTATGTCCATCATTATCATTAGGCCACAGCGTCACACCTCTCCCTAAACTTCGTGTAAAGTGGGGGACAGATTAATAAATTGTCCTTAACTAAAAAGGGGGTATCTTGGTGTGTCGAACCCAAATACTTTCACTGAGGTAGAGGCCTATGATTTGAAGATAGATCTGTTTTTCATCTCTGACCCACAGTGTGAGTAAAGCCAAAATGGCTGGTACTCCTCACTCACTCGGCCCAATTGGGATAATACTATCCATGCAAGGACCAGTATATTTCAACCGAAAGAATTCGCCTTGATCTGGTTAGCATTCTGCCTGGCACACAGTTTCCTTGTAAAATGAATGCGGTCCACTTAGGAGCAGACACAGCTATGTAAATATTGAATGATACTTTTTTTTTTTTTTTAATCTTGGCAAGCTTTTGAAATAAAACTTAGAGCTATAAATGGTGGTAGGGATGCCTGCTGATTTCTGTCCTTGAGGCTGGAACAGGTGAGAGCATTGCTGGTGAGAACTGATGCCAACACCGTAGTCCACAAACTGTTAAGGCAGCATCCTAAATAGAAAATGTGAAGGGCCCATAAACAGTGAAATAACCTATTGAAAAACATACCTTAGGGCTAGAGAATGAAGTGGCCCAGTCTCTGGAGTACTTGCTACCCAAATGTGAGAACATGAATTTGGACCCTCCACCCCCATGGGATTCGGGGTCGGGTAGCTGCTGGCAGAGGTAGCATTTACGGTCCTGACATTGCAGAGGCAGACACAGGTAGACTCTGAGCCTGAAAACTGGCCAGCCTGGCCAAATTGGTGAGCTCCCTATTCAGTGAGAATGCCTTTCTTCTTTCTCATTGAAAGACAGGTTAAGATTACATGAGAGAGACAGCTGATGTCTGCCTGTGGCTTCTTCATATGCACATCCATGACACATGTATGTATACACTCACCAGACATGGACTGTATTTTATTATCTGTACATCATCTGGTAATAGGGGTGGCTTGTTCGAGACCACAAGACCATGCACATTCTTCCTTACAGATGTAAAGAAAGGTCAACCTCCGTGTCCTGTATAACAAACAGGGTTTAGAAAAACACAGTTACACTTTAAACCCGTTGTTCCCAGCAGGTAGATGTGAGATAGTTTCTTAGACCTGAAACATGGCCTCTGTGGAAACAGAGGATCACTGCAAAAACCACTGGGCATTCTCCAAGGATGGGTGAGGAGTCACATTGGTGTCTGGCAGGTGGCATGTGGCCTGGCTCACTGCACCATTTCTTCTGTTACTGAGAAACGACAGTTCGGTTGGGTACTGTTGTGCACGAATCGCAATACCCCAAAAGACTGCCGAGTCCGTGGCAACCCACATGAGGATCTTTTTATTATAAAATCATTACAAGCTGCCGCTTGGGCTCACATCCCCCACCACCGAAGTGGTGAGAGCCGAGAGCCCCGTGCTCAGGTTAGTTGGGTGATTTAAAGATTCTGGTCCCTCCCAGCATGCCTAAGGCAGGGGTGATTCCTGCCTGGTAAGCATCTGTTGGTCAAAATGCTGCATTTTGAATTGATTGGCTATAGGAAGGTCCCCAAACCATTAATGACCTGGTATCCCTCCCTAGGGGGATGGGCCAGTTTCCTAGCAACTGTATCTCTAGTGAGTGTGGAAAGAATGCAGTAAGGCGGGTTCTTCCCCTCAGGGCATTACTGGGACCTCATCCAGCTAGTTCAGGCCTTAAACATTAACAATAACTGCTTATTTTTAATCTTTTGGTCTCTCAGTACCTCAGTGGAAAAATTCCCACATTGGTATCAAGGAAAAATCAGAACTGAGAGCCTTGGCTTCTTACTCCAGTACTAGCTGCCTTCTGTCTGCCTTGTGTTCTAATAGGGCAGTGAGCCCTAGGGTCCTCCACTAGAAGACCAGTGCTAGTCACAGCTACTTTGAGATATTGGATTTAAATTCAGTAAGCATGTTGCACACACCCAGCTTAGTTCTCGTTCCATTAATGCCAACCAGCCCTGATACCTTCCTTTGTAAAAATGGAAACATTACCAGGATTGTGAGTTTAAATTTGATGCCCTTGGTTTGAGAGATAATACAGTTGACCATTCAGATGAAAAGCCTCCGGTTTTATATGGTCAGTGTAATGCTTGGTATCTCAATGAAACTTAGCTGTCTACTGGCAGAATCCCACCCAGAAATACTGGAAACCTACCAGGCTCTGAGAATACATATTTGAGTAAAACAATGACCCTTTTTCTTTAAGTTTGTTTTTTACTGGGGCTGGAAGACTAAATAATATGTATGGACTAGTTAGTAATAGTTCTGGGAGCGGACAGAAAGAGCCATTAGGTGATGGTTTTAAAGCTGTGCTTTAAAGGTGATGGTTTTAATGTGGCTGTTTGAGGAGATGGGGTGGCTGGAGGAGATTATGTCATGATCACGGAGCTTCCATGAGGGCAATAGCACCATTGTGACAGACATCAGGCCTTGAGAGCCTCATGGTTCTGCCATAGACCTATGAACCAAAGAGCAGGCTCTCCCAGACACTGAGTTGGCCTTTATCTTGAAGTTCGTAAGTCTGATTTTATTGTAGGAACTTCATGGAAGACAAACTGATAGCTGAGATGATGATAAAGAACCTTAGATTACAGTGGCCTGCTAGGACTGGGGAAGAAATGAGCATGACAGCCTTGAAATACACACCTCTGTGCTTGTGATATGAGAAGTAGCTGGGTGTAGGCCTCCAGGATGTAAACTATGAGAAAGAATTTAGATTTGCACACACCTTTAAACCCAGCACCCTGGAGGCAAAGGCAGGCACAGGCATAGCCCTGCGTTTGAAGCTAGCCTGGTCTGTGTGGTGAGTTCCGGGTCAACTGTGGCTACACAGTTAGACCCTATCTCAAAAAAATAATAAAAACAAGCCAACAAGAACAACAACAAAAACTTGGATTTGATTCTAAATGCTTTGGAAGCCATTTAAGGATTCTGAATAGAGAGGTAGTGTCTGATTTATATTTTTAAGTGATTGCTTGGCTGCTCTGTACAGAATTGCCTGTACTGGGCAAAGGAGAGCCTCTGGCCGGAAGCCATTGCACTTGTGCCAGTCTGCTCTGGCAGCCACAGAAGTAGTGAGGATCTGCAGGCAGAGTGGAGATAAGATGTGGGGAGTATAGCAAGAAGGAAAGGGTGGCCTCTGTGTCTGGCTTCCAACCCCAAAGGTGCTGAGGAATTACTTCCAAATAAAAGCCTGGAGGTAAATACGGTATATCTTCTGCCAGCACGTTTCTGATTGGGGGCCAAGGAAAGCATGAGGTACAGCAGTGGAGTTGCTGCAGAGTATGTCCAGGTTCCCACAGTGGGAGATAATAGAGACAGTGTAACAGTTCCTGCCCATGAAGCAGCTATGGACGGAGGTAGCAGGAGGCAGGGGCCAGGGATTAATAGCTACTATTGTCCAGAGAGACTTCAGGGAAACATTGTCCAGCTTTAGCCCTGGGCTGGTGGTGTGCTTGACTCTAGAAGGCCAAACAAATTTTGGCATCCAGAGAGGGAGGGGATATTTGGAAAGCTGCTTTAGTGATCTGGAATGCCCCTGGCCAGTTTCTGGGAGATAAGGAAATAATGTTAACCATGTTTAGAGTGATAGAGGGAATGCGGACCTTCTATAGGTCAGTAGTCTACCTCAAACACTGGTATGAAGGGAGACAGCAAATCAGAGTGTCCTGGTTAGGAAAATGCCTTTTAAAACTCTGGCCCATGCCTTTTATCCCAGCACTTGGGAGACAGAGGCATGTGGATCT